TTTCTACCAATTTTCGACTGTTACAAATAGAGGACAGCATAATACATGTTGGGAACTCTCATGTACATAATATACTCCATTATTCATCAATTATTATCATCAAAGGAGGAGAATTCATAGTTTTTGTGAGATAATTGAAGGAGACTTGCAATAATTCAATCAAGTGAATATTCAAACTTGATTTCTGGGCAAAGAAGAGAAAGCACAAGTGGAAATTCATCATGCAGCCATTAAATATATTCAAGATTTCAAGATTCATCATCTTCTCAATTAATCAAAAATCTGGGTTATATTTTTTCACTTAAATATGATTTCTTGTAATTTCGATATATTATGCTAGTTTTATACATTGCTAGGATGAGATAAACCCTTGTTTTGAAATTTTTAATATGAATTAATTATTTTGACGACTACTATGTTTATTTTCTTGGATGTTTATTATTGTTTTCACCGACTTATCAATTAATTAGCTACTAATTGAGATGATTTATTGGAANTTTTTAATATCAATTAATTGTTTTGATGACTAGTATGTTTATTTTCTTGAATATTTATTATTGTTTTCACTAAATTTTCAATTAATTAGTTACTAATTGAGACGATTTATTGGAATCTATTATTATTGAGAGAAATAATAGGTTTTTAGCTAAAAATAATAAATATTGTAAAGTCCGATAAGAGATAGAGATATACCTCTATATTTTACATTGTTTCATAGGTATTCTAGATCGTTTAATACATTTATCATGTTCGCGTCTCTCATCGAGAGATGAGAACGTCACATGAGGGGAATATATTTGATAATTATCGAGAGAGGTTTTCAATTAAATTAGAAACACTGACAAACAATATTGATTACAAATTGTCACTTTAATTAGTTGTGCTAAAAAGGATCAAAAGGGGATTCGACATCTTAGCAATACTTTCACATATTTGGAATCAAACCAGTTAAATTGCTTTCTAGTTTAATCGATAATTTGAATATTAGTATAGAAAACTCAAAATCTACATGCTATTCGATTAATGTTATTATTAATTTGAACTCGATTAAATACTTAGTCTTCGTGGGTTCGATATTCATCATTATATTATTTGACCATGATGTCGTACACTTGCGGGTTTCCAAAGGACCAGCAGCCTTCACTAATTGTGCTCAAAACATCTCTTATGATTCTTCCAAATTCATCTTTAAGAGGCACTGCCTTAAACAACTCATGGAACTGCACATTTCTCTTTATGCCTCTAGTTATTTTCCTGCAACATCCATCTAACATTCTCATTTCATCTTATTCTACCTTCTTGCATTATCTAAAACAAAATAAAATTTTATAGCTGAGCCATGCCACATCATTCAAAAGTCATCCAAAAAAATCTGCTTCTTAACATTAGATTGAAATCCAGGGGTACAAGTCTTACTATGCTGTGCATGATACCCCAGAGGCCAAGAATATAGTCTTCCATTATACATTGTCATAAAATTCTTCTATAAAAGTAAAGTAATATTATAATGACCCGACCTCGCGCCGGAGCCGTTATCATATCGTACATACTGTTCGCTTTGAGAGAGCCTAACTCATCTTACCCCTCATGACTTTTTGACGAGTCCCCCAGGACCTCCATCATATGGGAGACACTTAAATTGAATCCTAGTACCAATTGGGGCGCAGGGTCGGGTCGTTACAAATATACCGAGGAAGAATATCCACAAAACTAACGGCCATCTAAATATGCTATTCAGATTCCAAATAATATAAATAGGACTGATTCCTTCAACTACCTTGGCACTAGACCGCTGAAATCAACTATTAATAGTCAACTTTCTTTACCTTATCATAGTCCATTATTCATCCATCAGATATGTAGTCAAATGAATTAAATTCATCCCAGTTCTAAAACATGTATGGAGATGAGATAAATTAAACTAAACCAAAAACCTTATAGTACTTTCTATTTTGCACACAAGCTAACAAAATATTTGAATCATTACACTGTTACAGGTGGCATACAAGAACAAATACAAACTATACATTCATGATTCAACTCTATTGGTAAAAGCCGGTAAGATCAGAATTAATTGTGGCATAAGAACACATATTTTGGCCAAAGGTAAATCTTTTTAGTTCTTCACTTATATGAGCTTAAACCTTTAAAATGTCTAATTCTCCAGCACTGCTTGAAATAATTGCAATGATGACATTCTGATCACTTGATCAATTAAAAGAATATTTTAGATGTACTATTCAGTCCCAAATAATTATGAAAATTTAATAACTGACCTAACTGGAGTTCCTGGTGAATAAAGTGGATTCTTGACAACATATTCAACATACAAGTTATAAATGTACTTCAGGGATTCCCTAAGATCTCCAGTCCTCGGGTGGGTGACAAGGATGATCTGCAGCTCAAAAGGATCATTTTATTAGAAACAACCGTAAATAGAATCTCTATAAATAACTAGACATTCAGCTTACCTTAATCAATTGTAAGGGGCAGAAAAGCTTTTGTTTCATTAGACGCACCCAATGCAAAATTGCAATTATGCTAGTTAAATATGACATGCACAATGCGTTAGTTCTCTCAATGGTGAATATTACTCCTAGCCGATTAAAATTCTAGTATAAATTTGTTAAACGGGATTAGTCAAATCCTAAAATGGATAAGAGTATTTGAAAAGAAGCATCAAAATGTCTACTTTAAAGATTCCAGAATCATTAAGAATAGTCAATAGATCATTGTGCGCCATGAAATAATAAGTCAGAACAGCTGAGACTTCTCCGCTTATCAGTCTCATGTTTTTGGGAATAAACCAAAAGAGTTAATCACATTAGCATTATAAACTGCAAACAGTATGTAATGTTTGTTCAGAAAATTATTAAATGTTCCCCTTAGGTAGAATGGTGATCGGAACCATATAACGTATACCTACATCTGTTCCCCTGTAATGAATGTAACTCGTACTCGTACAATTTCCAAAATGATACATAAAGTTGAGAATTAAATGTGGTGCTGCTCCCAGTGTTTTATCAAAAATCAAATGAATTAATTCTAGAAATCGCACATCAGATAACCTTAATTCCAGATGGACTCTCCATAAAACTCAGTTTATATGTATTCGTTCTGAAGCTGTGAAATGAACACCCTTGCCCAGGTAACTGTGGCACCCCGAGATTCCCTTTGTCAACGCTGCCAAATAGAACACCAAATTCAGGGGGGAAAATCCAATCAAAAAACACATTAAAATCGCTCGGTTAAGAAGAGAACTGACTGCAACCCATATCAACAAATACATGAAAAATATCAATTGATCTACAAAAGAAGATGAGATTTTTCAAGAGAAAAAAGAAGGGTACCAAGTGGGATCCATTTTAGCGGTAAGGGATTTGAGAGAGAATAGGAGCCCAAACATGAGCTTATGGTCCTGCTGGGAATTGAGGGTTTTGAGGGGTCGATTCCATTCTCTGTAAAGCAAACAGACTCCATTTCTGTTGAAGATGTAGAGCATGTACGCATTATTTCCCGATGCTGTGGGTACTGGTGGAGATGGGCTGATGAGGCTAGGCGGTTTTTTAACGTAATTTCTTCAGATTTGAGGAAAAATCCCAGATTCAAATCCCACAAATTTGTAAGTAGCGGAAATCGATCGAAGAGTGATGACGTGGATACATAATTTTTGGCGATAATGGTTATGGACATGGCCCCCACCCATTTGAGTGTGAGTGACATCACCAATATCGGGTGTCCATAATGAACACTCGGCACTACATCATTGGAGGGAGAGTCGGTGGAGTCGGCACCCCCTCCAGTGAAAAGGCGTCGGGTGTCCATTATGGACACCTTTATGTTAGTGGTGATGTACCACTAGCATAATTCTTTGAGTGTTATTTGAACCAATGTGGCAAAAAAATTAGAGAAGCGTTAAAAGTACATAATGTTACACGTAATGGTTTCCAAAAGAGAAATGCTATTCATCCCCATTGGGGATACATTCCCAATCTATGTGACGTTAATGTGGCATTAAATGATAGATGAAATTAAATAAGTCATTAAATT